AGGAGATCCCTTAGGGCGCCTCTTGGTAGTGTAATTAAAGTCAGTGGAAAACTGCAAAAACCCGGTTCAGGCAGAACTGCTAATGGCCCAAACCTTTTGGGAATGAAAGACTGGGTCACCCCACCAGTTGCAGAAATGAGGGCTGTAACAGTTGCATTTCTTTCTTATTTCGTTATGAATATGTCGTGTTGTACAAAATGTTTTTCTTACTTCTTTTATCCCCTAATCATCTAACACAAGATATATTAATAATAGTTAACTTTATATAATGGTGGTATTTAAGTTACAGGATATCAAAGGAAACTGAACATCACTCATTCCTTTTATTAAAGGAAGAGACAGCAGAGATCACTGTCTCTCCGAGTGCCATGTGAGCACACACTGAGATGGTGGCCCTCTGCAAGCCAAGAAGACAGGCCTCACCAGAAAGTTCCAAACCCAGCTGGAACTTTGATTTAAACTTTGGTTTAAGCCACCAGGCCTGTGCTATTTTGTTACGGCAACCCTGACAAACTAAGACAGGTGCTAGGTTGGCAAGGGGTGGACTCGGATGGTCAGCTTTATGTGTCAGCTCGGCTAGGCCAGCGTCCACAGTTATTCAAACACGAATCGAGGTGTCGCTGTGAAGGTATTTTGCAGATGTGCTTAAAGGCCACGATCAATTGACTATAAGTGAGGGAGATTATCTTAGTTTATCTGGGTGGGCTTAGTTCAATCAGTTGAAAGGTTTAAAGAGCAGAACTGGGACTTTGCAGATGAAGAAATTTCACCTGTGGATAGCTGCTCCGGCTTGTGCTTGAGAGTTCCAGCCCTGCGGATTTTGGAGTTGTCTAGCCAAGCCCCACAATCCTGTAGGCCAATTCCTTGCAGGAAATCTCTTAATATATACCTCCTACTGGTTCTGTTTTCTCTGCTTGATCCCTGATTGATACAGGCCCCGCCCTCTTCTCCAGTCACTTGTCCTATCCCCCAAGCTCTGTCCCTGGCCCTCCCAGCCCACCACCTAGGCTCCGCCCCCAGATCTCAGCCCCGCCCCTTCTCTCCCAACCTCTGCCTCTGGGCCCTTGCCCCTCCCTCCGGGCATTACTTCCCAGGCTCCGCCCCCAGCTCTGAGCCCCGCCCCAGCCCCACACGTCCTTGGCCTCAATTCCAGCCCCGCCCTGTCTCCCCAAGCTCTGTCCCTCCGCCCTAGGCTCCGCCCCAGAGCTGAGCCCCGCCCAGGCCCTGGCCCCGCCCCATTGGCTCTCACCGTCGCATTTGAGGCCCTGGCGCACGAGGCCAAAGAGCATCTCCCCGCAGTGGTCGCAGAAAGCAGGCGCGCGGTAGGAGTGCACCGTGAGGGCGTGCGGGCGGATCTGGAAGTCCTCGAATGTGGCCGAGGCTGCAGGCAGCAGGGAAAAGCGGACGCTTGAGCAGGGGTGGGCCGAAGCTGTTCCAGCCCCCTATGTTCCCAGGTTTCTCACAGTCCTCCCAGCAGCAGGGTCTGATCTTTCCTTTCTTCATTCATTCACTCACATACTACATTCTGCCTGGGTTCAGAACAGTTGTGGAGATTGGCTGCACGACGGCGTGATGTCCTTAACACTACTGAACAGTTCAATTAGAAGTAACTGTTATGTATATTTTACCACAATTAAA